ATTGTGACGTAAAAGTGAAATAAAAATGTTTATTTTTTGTTTAGGAAAATAAACGAAATGTTTTTGTCATACATACATTTATGAATTTCTCATTTCTTATACATATATATATATACATAAGTTTTTTAGGTATCCATCCAGTATTTGAAAAAAAGTCTTTATTATAGTAGTGCATACAAAAAATGAAAAACAACGCACAATAATGAGAACACTAATTAATATAAAAACTGCTAGTTACTGTCTATACATATATATAATTGACTAATATACAGGTACTTTTCTAGAATAAAAGATCTATATATCTATCGCAAAGTATTCGTTTTGAAAAGTTTATTGAACAGATATATAATCCACATTGAATGGATTTATAATATAAACAGTCATTGCTTTTTTTAATTTATATCATTTATATTTTCAATTAGAATAATCTCCACGCAACCAGCGTTTTCCATCTATAGAGTTTTTACCAAACGTTTTTCCAACCCTGAAAAAATATTCATTATAATTATAACATATTTTCAAAATCTTTCAAGTAATTTCACCACTGCGCTTATATTTCAATTATATTAACCTGATATTATTTCCTGGTATGTGTCCCATATATCCAGGCAACTGGCCTAAACTCTTATGGTATATAGGATATCCATCGGCACCTCCGCCAATGAAAGAGACCCCTGCTTCTCCGATTGGACACCACTGTTCTCCTCGTCTATATTGATAATTATTTGTAAATTCTACCATGGCCATCGGTATAATATTTGGGTGGCCTTCGCTGAATTTGGGGAACTCGTACGGTTTATACTTTTCTTTACCTGTGGGTTTTATGAAGGAATTCTAATTTATTATTTTGATTTTGAAAAATGAAATAAACTAGTGGTGTATGGCATCGTGCCTTGAGACAAATTGCTAGAACTTTCCGTACCATAACGAAACGATCGAAGAATATTAAATCTTTTCAAATAAATTATTATAAATACTGTAACATTTTTTAATATTTATAAGAATAAAATGAATTACAAAGTTAAAATTATTTATTTAAAGTATATAAATGAGCTACAAAACTTTAGCATGAATTAAAATTAAAATCTGAATCATGAAATTTTTTTCGGAAAACAATTGTTACGCCAACACAAGCAGAATGTTTCTTGGATCATTCAAATCGGATACTCTGTACTCTCAAAAACTCGATTTCTCACGGTCTCTTTGCTCCGTATCTCTGTAACGGCTGGACCTGCTCTTTCCAAAAACTATCAGCACATCTCCCTATCAATAAAAATCGATTGTTTTTTGAATTTTTCAAATCGGTTCAGCCATCCACCCGAAATCGCCGACGATAAATTGTCTCCACACATACACACACACACATCCATTTTTTCGGATTGTGAGGTATGCCAAAATGTTCAGAATCCTTTGAAACGTAAAGATATGCAAAAATAAAATCATTTTCGATTTTCGGCCCATTACTATAACTTACCCTATAGAAAGTTAATTATAGTAGATTATATTAAATTTTTATAGATTTACTTATACATCATGAATGTAAACATAACACTGAAATGCAAAATTTGAAAATTCAATAAACTTTAGATTATATTTTAGTGAAAAGTGTTGTCTGAAAATCTAATGAATCTAATTCATTTATTTTCTATTTTATTATATATTTTTGTTCAGTTCTAGATAAGTCTATGCACACAGACATTGATTTAATGTGAAATCTTTATATTTAATTATTATGATTTTATTTTAAAATTAATTTTACATAAATAATTTATTAGACATTATAAGGTTATGGGATTCCATTTATCAGCATTTGTTAAAACGAACAGGATCAACCGATTTGAATATTTTAAAGAACATTCGATCCCTATTGATAGGGAGATGTGCTGATTAGTTTTTGGCAAAGGCAGGTCCAGCCATTACGGAGATACGGAGCAAAGAGTGCAAAAAATACGAATCAAATTTTTGAGAGAACGGAGTATCCGATTTGAATGATCTAAAAAAAATTCTATTTGTAATTATAGGGAGAAGAGGTGATTAGTTTTTGGCAAAGGCAGGTTCAGCGGTTTTGGAGATACAGAACTAAAAAAATGGCAGTTTTTGAGGAAACTAAGCGTTTGATTTGAATGATTCAAAGAACTTTCTGTTTTTTCAACAAAATCATCGCTTTTGGAAAAGAAATTGTCTCAATTTTTTTTTTAAATTTATTTTCAAAAAAAAAAATTTTTTTTGTACATCGAAAATAATTCAGATTTTAATTTTAATTCTAACTAAAGTTCTAATATACTTTAAACAAATAATTTTAACTTTGCGATTCAGTTTATATAATTCTTATAAATATTAGACAATGTTACAATATTTATAATAATCTATTTGAAAACATTTAAAATTGCTTTAACATTTCGTTACGGTACGGGAAGTTCCAGCAATTTTCTTCAAGGCACGATGCCATACACACCATTAATTACATACCAAGATCAGGTCTCTCTCGGCCCATGAAAAATGGGTGCACATCATAAGTTGGAGGCGGTAAACATGGTTCGCAAACTGGTACCGTTGTAACCACACCCATCATTTCTGGTCTCACGACTTGCAAAGGCATTGAAAAATCGCTTCTTTGTTCCTAAAAAAACAAAATCATTTGAATTACGCAAAAATTGCGCAAAATAAGTACCAAAGTATGTACTTAAAAATAATTAATGGTTTATTTACAGTCTTGTATTTCATATTATAAATTTATATCTATTTGAACATACTATATCAGATATCCATTTAGATTGATTAAATTCGAGAGCCTTGGGCATACGATTTTTCACGGCTTGGGTTGCTTGTATATTTTGGGATTGCAGTTTTTGTAATGGTGTTAATCCTTCCATAGCTTCAACACGAGCTCTTTGGCCATACCTCCCATGTTGTTTGGGAAGGAGCCCTAATAAAATATATTTATTATATATAAATTATTGTATTTTATTACTTATTTATTAGTCTTGAAATTTTACCTTCGAATCCGGGAGCTGCATGCTTATATGGCGGATTTTGGTACATATATCTCGATCGTACCACATCGATTTCGCGTAGACATTTTCTGTACACCTTTGGTAATTTTTTCATGTATGTTAATATTTGTTACTCATGCATGTAACTGTTTGAGCATTAATTTAGATTTAATTTCTGTATCAATAACACAGGCCAACAAAGAAAATGATGCAAACGATTTTAATGCTGTTTTTAAGTATATTTGGGGCGCTGATTTAAAAAACATTGGTTTCTTTCTATGAGCTTTAGTTTTCAAGATATGATACATATGTTATATAAGGAATGAAAGTACAAAATAGTAATACAATTCAGAATGTTATTTTAACGAGATATGCCTACTCCTACATACAAACTTACAAGACCCATTCGGCCTTAGTTGGGACATTAGTTGACACTGTGAAAAGTTCTTTTCCGTGACGACCTAGAATGGACCTGGTTTCGGCGACTTCTTTCCGAGTTCCAAACTAGAGCTGATACAAAAAGTGGTTTGCAGATTTGAAATAAGCGCAAAAAATACTATAAGAATCAGCTTCTAACATTTGATGCACCAAACAAAAAAAAATATGGTAGGCCTGTGTAATTATGATATTAATGAGGCAAAATTTTATAGTAAAATCCAACTTCTATCTTAAGAACATAAAGGTCTCTAGTATTTTTGTATTATAATGATCTGTGATATACCTACTAGTAGTAATATATTAGTACTATATATTATACGTTCTGATCACGTGGACAATGCCTAGTCCCGAGTTGGATCCCAACCTCCGTCAGCTCGGTATCAAGAAATATGAAATCAATTTTTACTTGATATCAAAGATTTCAAATATAATTTTAGTTGAAAACAGTCCTTCCGGGACATTGCTGCATGAAATTATAAATGCAAAAAATACTGTATAAGTATTGTCATAATATGTCACAGCTAGGAGAGCATACTGGGTTGACTTCTAAACAAATTATGCGCTAAGATACCAAAACAATTAATAAATATTTTTATATTATATAGACCGATCATAATTCAAAAAAGGACTGATTGGTTTTATCTGATTTTTCAATAAGTGTTATATAAAAATACAGCACTATTTACAAATACAAACAATTTTATTCGCTTATGTTACGCCATACAACTTCAATCAATTTCTTAAATAGAACAACAAAAATAAACATAGGTACTATAAAGACTTATTCATTTAAACTTTTCAAAATGAGCTATTAACGCAATTTCTTTTCTTTATAATATTCTCGTCACGTAACATAATAATCTAAAGTACTTCTAAATTTTTGTCATTTCGAGACCGTTAACTTTAGTTATTATTTTCGTTTTTTTCCCGATTATTATTTTCGTCTTTTTTTACAAATTACGTGCTCCATTTAAATTAAAAGTTACTTACAGTAAAATCATCAGTTAATCTATCCGGCAAAATTAAATCCTCTCTTAGGGTAGTTGCTGGTTCTACAAGTGCTTTTTTTGTTTGTGAAGCATAGGTTGCTCCTATGCGATAAGTATATGGAGGATGATGATTCTTGAAACTTAGAAGATGGAATAATATATATGAAAACATTGCAATTGTAAATTAAACTAATAAAAATTATTTTGAAGAAGTATCGAAGGTTTTAGAAACCGAATCAAGTTTTTCCTGTTATTGACAATTCCGAGAAAGTTTTTAATGGCATACGATATTTACCATTGTATTTCTAAACCAATTTCATTTTGTTTTAGTCAATTTCTTAAAGTTTTATATAGTTTGAATAAAAAGTTTGCTTTGCATGCTTTTCTCCAATACATAATCATACTCTTCTTATTACATTTACTTTCAAACATTAATTTCAATTTTTAATTAAAAATGTTATTATTTAATTCTTAGTCATCATTTACATAATAATATTTTTTTTTACCCCGGTATGTATGGTTGATCTATGGCCATCATCTTGCTAAATTAAAAGATACTAATAATATTAAAATATTACGAAAAATTTTGAATAACTTACTACTCAATATTAATTTTTGTTTTTTTTTCCTATTTATAAATATCCATTATAAATGTCATTTTACAGTATCAATAAAATTCATAAATATTTTTAATATTTTATGTATTTATAATAAAAAATGTATACAAAGTTTGTCTTATTCAATGGATCATAGTAGTTGCCATTATGATTTTATAATAAAATAAACCCTATTATAACATTAACATTATTGTATATAAGTTATATGGCAGTGTTTGTAAAAAGTAATTAATATATATAAAAATTTATATACAAATATATTTTGATTTTATCGAATTTTCCTACTATACTATTTTTGGTTTAAGTATTTGGCTTCATTGATTATGAAAACTCTTTGATATTAAAATAGAAGTAATCGATGTTGAAATTTGTTTGTAATTTCAATTGCTATGTAAGTAACCAAAGAGTTTTCAATTTTATTCATTATATTAACTTAAATATCTATTATTAATTAATCGAATGTAACATTACCTAACTAATTATTAGTGGTAATTGCTCATAATTGGAAATGTGTTATATATTACTATTGGTAACGTATTTTGAATCTGTTTAATTATTCGATGAGGGGTAATTTTGCATTTAGATTATTTTTTGTAAATGATATGCTATTTAAAACAAACTGGTCCCACTTGAAAACCAAAAGCTTGTTGAGGCAAACCATAATCAGTTGGGTAGAAATCTATTATTGGCAAAAAGTTCAGTTTTTTTGTTCTCACTTCGAACACCGTTTCACTTTTGCTTTTGCCAGTCTGAAAGAATTACAAATATTTATAAAGTAAAGTGATTTAAATCAGTATTAAAAATCGCTAAATAAATTAAAAAGAATAAAAAATAATAAATTTCTCAGTCAGCATAGTGAATTTCAAAATTTCTGAGACTGTAATTTTGTTGGAGAATATACTAGAACATGTAGAATAAACCATTTGCATAAAGATATTCTGAATTAAGACCATTTTAATTAAGATAAAACAAATGATTGAAACGATAGTTTTTGGTATCTTTCAAATCTATATTATATTAATACGTATAATCTATATTATACGGTGCTACGAAAAAAGATCACGAATATCAGACTAATAATTGCTGAATTTTATTATGTAGACAATGTAGACTAAATTTTTTCATCAAAATATAGTCAAAAAATTATGTTATCTTACCTTGCATCCATCAATTAGGACATTAGGTCTCAAAACATTGCTTTCATAGCTTATTTCAACTTCATTTTCTCCTAGTAGTTTTAGAGCACTGTCATAGCTATAAGTTTTGGTGTTATACCATGCAGCACTATTGATACATGTGTATGTAAAATTCTGATAAACATCTTGGGAAAGCAATCTTAGGAATGTCATCTGGACTACGCCGATTGTTTCATATGTTATCTGGAACATAATAGTAATTTAATATTTTGCAATATTTGTCAATCTTTGATTAACTTACTCTAAATCCACCGCGTAGATTTGAATACCAATCGTCCTTTTCATTTTCCTTTCGCCATGGAATATTTGGCATATGGGAGCTGTGAACATCTGGATACACACAAGTTTCTCCTTCACCAGTCATATTGCAAAAGACATGGATTGCATCGTCTCCCATACCTAGATTTGGATCTATCCAATACCATCCTATAGTACAAAGGTTTAATTGAACAAAACTGTATATAATTTGCATATAAAAAATAGAACTATCCCATAATTAATAATAATTATATTTTTATGGAGATGTCTTTTCTGAATCAGACTCCTCGTCCGCGGAGCAAAGAATGGTGAATCTCCCTAAACATTGTGTATGTGTGTATGCACGCTTGATATTACAAAATTCAAATACTTAATACGTATAAATATTTGACAGTCGTTATTGTCTAATTTTACACATATGTCAAATATGATACCACTTCCTTCTAAAATGACAAACCATATGCATTCAAAATATTTCTTGTTATTACGCAAAGCAAGAGAATCTATGATAATTTACATCCAAAAACTTTATAGTAAACAAATGACTACAAAACAGAAATGCACTGACAATTTTTTAGAAACACATATGCAACATTTCATAATAGTCTATTTTTTTAATTTAAGCCTATCTAGGGCGAAATTATTGTGCACGATTGCTATGTGATGACAGACAAGAACGAATTGATTCTAATAGATCGAACAAGTGATTTTGGCGAAGGCAACGGGGACTACACATCATGCGATCAGAAAATGGATTTGACAAACGCATACCGCGTTGTGGAAGAGCTAGAGGACTGGAAAGAACGTCAGCAAAACTATTTTAGACAAGTTTTAATAAGTAAAGAAAAGAAACATTTGGCTTTTTTAAGTGAAGAATGGGAAAAACGCAAGAAGGTTCTCCAAGGTCAGTTAGAGCAAAGTATCGATAAATGTGATGCTTTAGCTGGGCAATTACAGCAGGCTCATCAAGAAGCTATTGCCGCAGAAATAGCTAGTAGGCAAACTGAACGCAAACTGATGTCTGAATTGTCAGAGGTAGAACGCTTGTATGGGGCAAAACTTGTTGCATTAAAAGAAGCATCACGTAGAGTAGAAGAAGATTTAAATCATAAAGTGAAACTAATTGATATTGATAAAAATCTGTTGGAGGATCGACTCGAAGTACTAAAGAAAGATAATGCTGATTTAACCCAACAATGTGAGCATTTGGGTAATAAAATTGCAGAAGTTAAGAAAAACTCTTTGAAAAAGGACCAGGTGAGAAGCTTACTTAAGCAACTTCGGTCGTGCGAAGATAAATTAAACAGTGTAATCGAATCTAAAGAATATTTTAAAGATGAATGGGCAAAAGCTGCTCGCAAAGTCCATCATTACAAAACGGAGCATCACGAAAATCTTAGAAATCGTATCAAAATGTATAAAAACCAAATTGATAACGTAAACGGTGGCGATTTATCGGGTATATTGCAACAGCTTAAGAAAAGAATAATGAACGTCGACGTAGAAGAAGATGCCATGTCGGAACCGATATTGACACAGCGTTCCCAGCCTAATCTCGGAGAAGAAATTAATAGTATTAGATTTAATTCATTCAGTTATAGTAATTTCACAACAAACTCTGCAAGACATTCTTCTAGCGGGCACGATTTTGCTGCTGATTTAAAACGTTTGTCTGCTTCTCGTACATTCAGCTCGAGTTCAACTAGCACTTCAAGCAGCCGAAGTACGAATATATTTTCCACTTTTGACATGCCTTTGATGTCAGATGTAAATTGGTCATCTAATCCACTACATAATCATACACAATCTGAACATTCATTACATGCTATATCTCAAGGTCAGTTTAAATTCAAAAATCACTTTTCTGATAATGATATTTTAAAATAATGCTTTTTTAGTGCATAATTTGAAATTTTTGTCAACGTGTCAAGTTCTTATTTGTGAATTGCTTTTGTGTTTCTTTAATAAAAATGTTTTCATAACAGAGCATACTAAGTTTTAATCAAATAAGATATTTGAATAATATTATTTTAACTCATAGAGTCTTATAAGTTATATTATTTTTCTCACCGTCCTTGAATTGTGGATGCCCATAGTATAAATCTTTACATGTTCTAACTGGATTTTCTTTGGTACCCAATGGTTTTCTTATTCTGTCCAGCTCTTGCCTCATTGCATATATAGAGCTATACATGTCTAAAAATTTCGGGCCAATATCTTCTTTTCTTTTAGCTTTTTGCTTCGATTTTGTTTCCGAATCTGATTCAGTGGTTGTAGTATCAGATTCCATGTCTTCCTTCAACTCCTCCATGAATTTTTCACTAAATTGTAAATATTTTGTTTTCGATAAATTAAATTATATGTTATTGAACAAATATATTTGAAAGTTTTGTATACTTACATATCCCTCTTCTGCAATCTATGTGCATTATGCATATTTATTAATTCTTCTCTCTGGAATAAAAGTTCTGGAGGTAGTAAAGGCATTTCGGCTGGAGGGCCTGGTGGACCAGGTTGACCCGCAGGCCCTGGCTCACCTTTGGTACCACCGACACCTTCAGAACCTTTTGGGCCGGGCGGACCTTCTGGCCCGGGTGGTCCTTGAAGTCCATCGCTGCCTTTTACTCCTATAGGCCCTACTGGACCCTAACCACATCAAATATATTTTTAATATACACAAAAAAAACTAAAAACATTATATAATAAATAGATAATAAACAAACGAGTATTGAAATAAATAATAGTAGTTTCTTATACATAGATATTAGATATATATATAAATTAATGTGGGTGTACTAAAACTAACCGTATCTCCTTTCTTCCCTTCTGGGCCTGGTGGTCCTTTTACTCCTCGATCACCTTTCTCACCTTGATCTCCTTTGGCTCCCAATCCACCTAGTTCTCCGCGGTGACCTTTTGGTCCACGTCTACCCCGTTCACCTTTTGGACCCGGTGCTCCTGTTTCGCCAGCTTTTCCTGGTTGACCAACTTCTCCTGATTTACCAGGAGGTCCAACATCTCCCTTCATTTAGGCATTAGTATAAATACACATTAATCAAATTCCTCATACGTACGTTGACAATTATTAGGATATAAAATAAAAATAAAAATAAATAAAACTATAAATTATTACCGCTGGTCCTGGCGACCCTCGCATTCCAGGTAAACCTGGTGGGCCGGGAATACCATCTGGTCCAGGTAAACCTGGTTCACCAGGAGGACCATTTAAACCTCTATCTCCCTTTTCTCCTGTGGGTCCAGTACTACCCTGCAAGCCCGCTGGTCCTTCAGGACCCTAAACAATAACATGACTAACTTAAAAAAATTAATACAGCAAAAAAAACTAATATAAAAAACATCAGTGAATGGAAAATGTGCTTTGTAATTTTATTGATCATATTCTTACTGGCTTTCCAGGAAGTCCGGGTTCTCCTTGTTTTCCGATTGGTCCGGCATCACCTGGAGGTCCAGGCTGTCCAGGTGTTCCATCAGTGCCATCCTTCCCAGCGTCACCTAAGATAAATAAGAATATTAATATTTGAAACTGTCAATATTATATCGTTACCAAATTTTATTACCTTTCGGGCCTTGTAATCCTGGTTCACCTGTGTTGCCAGGAAAACCTGGAGGACCTGCCGATCCTTTTGGACCCTCTGGACCAATAGATCCTCGGCCACCACGTGGGCCAGGAGAACCTTGTTTGCCTTCATCTCCCTTTGGACCTGGTGCTCCGCGCTCACCCTGTTACATATGATTTTTTAGATATTGTTACATATACACACATGTGTTTAATATACATAAATACTCATTAATTATTTTGAAAATTATTATACCTCTTTACCATCTGGTCCAATAGGGCCAGGTGGTCCTGGTGCTCCAGGTTCACCACGCAAACCCTGTGGTCCTTCAGGTCCTGTTGGTCCTGGCGGCCCTTCAGTTCCTTTACTACCTCTTCTTCCATGGTCTCCCGGGCTACCAGTAGGTCCCACAGGACCTTTTTATAAAATTTGGGTTTTTTAATCTGAATTTCTTTTTTTCCAAAATCAATAATAATTGCATTATTTTTTTTAATATAACTAACTGTTTGTTGAAAATTTATAGATTACTGCAAAATTTGTATGACCGAAGTTTTTTTTCACCTTTTGGTCCGACGTCACCAATTTCTCCTTTGCTACCAGCTGGTCCTGGTAAACCTTGCGGTCCCGCAGGTCCCGCTGGTCCAGTTGCTCCAGCCGGTCCATCAGCTCCTTTATTTCCTTGTCGACCCATTTCACCTGGTGATCCTCTTTCTCCTTGTGGTCCTATTGGTCCGGGTTCTCCTCGTAATCCTTGCGGGCCTGGCGACCCGGCTGGTCCCTAATTTTATTAAAAATAGTGATTTATTATTAAAAGTAAATGATGATTTAGGTAGATAAATAAATAATTATTTCGTTAATTATACCATTTTCAAAAAAATTTCATGCTATTTCCTAACAAAGTTTGATTGAATTGCGCACTAACTATAAGTTAATATTAAGAGCTAAGACTTTCAGAAAATTGTTTTTTATCAATTTGGGACCATTTCATCCCATGGGAGCAAGGTAATTCAAAAATATCCATATTAAGGACTACCCTAATATATATTATATTAATATCTGTGTCTATGACATAATCACAATTATTTATTTCTATGCTTTTGTACCGTCACAAAATCAGCATCTGTATGGTATCACTGTGTAAAAAGCATCGGTTTTATAGTATTTTATCTCAGATTTTTAACTATAAATATTCATGCGTTTCATTATGTTTTGTTATTGCTGAATGAAAACTAGAAGTTATTGAATAATTACTTTGTATTATAAAAAATCAATTTTACAGATTGCGTTACGCACAAATAATTAAAGCAAAGTATAAAACAAGATTATATATTATATTAATTAAATTCATCTATTATATATATAACATATAAATATAATATATAATAATATTTACCTCCTCCCCTCGCACACCTTTAAAACCTTTTTCTCCGGGTGGTCCAACATCACCTTTATCACCATCTTCACCTGGTGCCCCGACTGGACCAGGTGGACCTGGCAAACCACGTAATCCAGGCAAGCCATCTCTGCCAATTGGGCCTATATTGTGAAAAGTTTCAAACTAGTATAGTGATAGATATTATCCTCATATTTTGAAAAATTTATTGTCTTTCAAATTGCAAAAGCAACATTATGGTTAACATTTTACACTCACCTGGAGGTCCTGATTCGCCTCTTTCACCTTTAACACCATGACTACCAGGCGATCCTTGTGGACCCTTTCTTCCTTCCGGACCTATAGGACCTTCCTTTCCAGGTTCTCCTTGTTGTCCTTTATCACCAGTAGGTCCGGCGGGGCCTGGAGGACCAGTTTCACCTTTCAAACCTGGCATTCCCTAAGAAGTAAATATTTTTAATTTTGTGAGGAATGCAAAAATTAAATTGATCAACTATTCAATAACATAAAAAAGTATTTTTGATAAAACTACTTCTTAAATATCAGACATTTTACTAACTGTTAACCCAATGAGCCCTCGTTCTCCTGGAAATCCTGGTAAACCAGGTCCACCAGGTGGTCCCTCTTTTCCTGGCGGTCCTGCGGCACCAGGCGGTCCTTCTTTACCGGCATCTCCCGGTGTACCTGCTTCTCCAGGCAAACCAGGATGGCCTGGAGCTCCCGGTTCACCGACAGGTCCAGGTTCACCAATGGGACCAGGTGGTCCAACCACACCAGGAGCTCCTGGTGGCCCTGCCGCTCCTGTGTCACCCTTGTAAAGATAAAAATAGATTTTAATATCAAACTGTCTTAAATGACAAAAATTACAGTAAATAATTTAAATTCACCGGTGGCCCTCTTTCACCAGAGGCGCCCGGTAAGCCATCTTTTCCATTACTGCCTGGAGAACCAACTGGGCCAGAAAACCCACGAGATCCTTCAGCGCCTTGTGGCCCAACATCTCCTTGAGGACCAGGGGGTCCTGGTTGACCAGTGTCTCCTTTCGGACCTGGAGTGCCTTCTTGACCACGTCTACCGCGCGATCCTCGGAAACCCTTCATAGTAAATATTTTAATTATTTTGTAATATATTTTTTAATTATTTCACTTAATAATGAAGCACTATTGCGACTGGTTGATAACTCTATGAAATACTGCTGGTTAAATAACTTCGTAAAATTCGATAAATAGTCTAAACTAATTAATAAAATTTAAAAAATATGATTAAGCTTTATTGAATGCAATTTAACTTACCCTTGGCCCAATTTCACCTCTTTCACCTGCTACGCCTGGATTACCCTGTAAGAAAACATTACAGGAATTAAAAAAAAAAATTCTTTTAAATATTTCAACAAATATGTTTCTTACCCTATCTCCTTTATCACCAGGATTTCCACTCTTTCCAGTTGATCCTTTGTCACCTTTGTCTCCAGGAGCTCCAGGATAACCTGCAAAACCTTGAATTCCAATCTTACCCTTTTCACCAACCGGTCCGATTGCACCAGCTTCCCCTCGAGGGCCATCGAATCCCTAGAAACGTATTAGAAACCACTTGGAGTTTAAAGAATATTAAAGTCATAACTAAAAATTTCTTTTTCAATATTTGTTATGTTAGAATTGAATAGAATAGATTTGTAGTGGTAGTTATAATTTTTTAAGATTGCAGAAAATTTTATATTTTGTGGGAAATGAAAAATTAGTTTCATACTTTCATAAAACTGCGCCTATATTCACCATACATATCATTGCTTAAAAATTTAATTTACTTCATACTCACTCAATAGACTAGTGCAGATTAGAATCATAATTTTGTAATACCTTAGGACCTTCAGGACCCTCAATTCCAGCCATACCGGGTGGACCAGCCACACCTCTTTCACCTTGTAATCCGACATCACCCTTCTCCCCATCAGCACCTGTTAAGCAGTAATTTGTGATTTGTATGTATTATTTATTATTGCTATTCTTTGACGTTTATGATCAACCTCTATCTCCTTTATCTCCCTTTTCCCCAGGGGCGCCTCTAAATCCATCATCACCCTTGGGCCCACGAGCTCCAGGGAATCCAGGTGCGCCCTATTCAACACATTATTTTTTATAGTTTTTAAATATAATTAATTTTGATTATGAAAAAATAATTATTCGGTTTATATACCATATTTAAATACATTTTCATTATTTACCTGATGTCCTTGTGGACCGATTTCACCTTTGCTGCCTGGTACACCGGCATTACCTGGATGTCCAGGTGACCCGTCCGCTCCAGGAAGACCTGGCATACCCGGCTTTCCCGGTGGACCCTAATTTATAAAAATTAACCATTTAATTGACAATCAATTTGAACAAGGTTACTCAAGGTTTAACTATGTACATCAATTTTAATACTTTTATCAAATATTTCATAAAATTTAAATCTATTGTTTTGTCGTACTGGAATTCCTGTTGGTCCTAGTAGGCCTTGCGGGCCTGGTGGTCCTACGGCTCCCGGGGGTCCAGTTTGACCTGGAGCACCAACTTGTCCTGGAGGTCCGGCGTTACCTTTGGCTCCTACAGGTCCTTCGCTTCCTGGAACACCTGGATTACCTGGCAAGCCTGGAAAACCTCTTGGGCCAACAAAACCTCGAGGACCCTATAAAGATAGTTTAAATAGTTTTTTATTATCGATCTCACAAAGTGTATACCGTTTAAAAACATCATGTAATGCTGGTTGTTTTTTGTTATTGACATAGTTGCGCAATGAATTTAAATAATTATTAAATACACTCACACAAAATACAATAAAATGTGCGCATGGGTCAACTGCGGTAACGAAAGTATTTCTGATTATTATATCGGATCAACAATTAATTTGCTATATAGATGCAAATATTTGTTACATTATAAAAGTAATAATTGAAAATATATTGTAGCAATACTAATTAAAAATATTTTCATTAGTATAATTAATAAACTTGGATATATAATACTTTGAATAAAAGCTTTTGCAGTTGAATTTAACGCATACGAGAGTTTATAGCATTTGTATTATTGAATTTTATTGATTCATAAAACTTAGATCAAATATACATGTACGTGAATATACTTTAATCACAGAACAGTTCTACATCATATTTTGTCAATATCATTTTTTTATTAATACTTCTTTAAAACTGTTCTAATTTTTGTTCCTAAATATGTTTATGATATAATTATGATAATATTTGTAAATTTCTTCCATGATAAAGTACTAATATAATTTAGTTGATTTGGAAATGATTTGAAATCACATTATTTTTCATAATTAATTACCAGTTCTCCTGGTAGACCTGGCATACCAATAGGACCTTCTTCGCCCTGCATTCCTTCATGTCCAGGAAGTCCTTGCTCACCGGGCGCACCCTGTGCTCCTCTTTCGCCCTTATCACCAGGCAGTCCTTTAAAATAATGGTAAAACATTTCAAAATCACTTCTATTCAATAAAGTATGTGCCTTTCAATAAGAATTAAATATATATCTATACTCCCCAGATATTTATGAAATAATCATTAACAAGATTATTTTTTATAAAAATTCTAAAACGTAATTAAATTGGTAAATATTTATTACATTGATTAAGCAATTTACGTTTAGTCTTATTTTTTTATAATACCGTCATTACATAACAAATTTAATTTTGTCAATATCAATTTGAAATAATTACTTTTTATTAGACATAAGTTGCTCGGAAATAATTTTAGTTACTTCATCATATTTTATGTAAAAAATTTATTTTCTATATTTAGCATAATAGAGTTTTGAATGCACATTTACGCGAATCAATTTCAATAAATATTGATATACAGCTTCGATACCCTTTTCTACTTCACAATAAGCAACTGATTGGCAGTTTCTCGAATACATGATGGTGGTAATCATATTCCAATCACTATAGATGTCAAATGTCACTGAATTCAACAGTATATAAAATAGTTTATCTTTGAACTTGAATAAATTCCCTCTTAGAATATTTCAGGAAATAAATATGAAATGTTAATAGCAGATATTTACTGTTTCTGCTAAAGTTTTCTGAAACTATGCCAACTCAGTGGCTATAATGCTGTAATTTAGGCACTTATTGAACTGAAACTATGGAGATGATTTAAAAAATGCTACTATTTAACTATTCAAATTTCTTGCATACCCGGTATTCCAATAGGTCCTTGTTCTCCTTTTACTCCTGGAGGACCTGTAGCGCCACGTTCGCCATCTCGGCCTGGTCGACCTCTTCTACCTTCCCGGCCAGTATTTCCAAGTTGACCTCTTGGACCTCTCGGCCCCTAGAATTAAAAATAAAATTGATGATTTGTATGTAAAATTATTCATAACATATATAAGAAAAAATAATCGATTGCTCGAATAAGTATCCCTACGTTTGTAAGTCATAATTTTGAGTAGCTTATATTTATATGTACTGTCTATGTAAAAGTGTATATATAATGCAAAACGTTCGTTTGGTTTCCCCCAACGACTAATAATCATATAATTTCTTTAAAATCGTTCAATTTCTTTTCAAATTGTGAGTTCTTTGTGCAGTATTTTTTATAAAGGCATTGTAATAATTTCTGTAGGGTTATTAAGTTATTGTCAGATACAACCCTTACAATTAGTTGAGTAACAAAAACTTGAATCTGCGATTGATTTCTTTTGTAGATGGACTGCTGTCATTTTATAAATTTTGTTAAAAGATACCTTAAAGGTCAAGTAATATATTTTTTTGTTATTAAAAATATTATCGCGTAAAGTAATCTTTTCTATGCAATATGCTAAACTTATGATTAATATGTAATTTATACTATTACGAAATTAAATATGACTTCTACCTAAAATTATAAAGTCATGTCATTCCAATGCAAAATTTACTCAGGACTTCAAACATTCGGATTACATTTAAAAAGTAATTTAAAAAAAAGCTTTTGAATTATTGTACATGAATTAGGAAGTAATGATTATTTTCCAAAATTGTAAAATTTTAATATTTGAATTTATATTCTACGTCTTTTATTTTAAATTTTCTGAATCATTTCATACGTATATGAACATTATATATAATTAATAAATTAATTTATTATATTAATTTAATATAT